TACAGTTCAAAAGATGGTGCGTGGGTCAATGAAAATCTGATTCCCATTCTCGATAAACACTCAATATCCTACAGCATTCACACAAGAGATTTTGAGTTGGGAAAGCCCATTGTCCAAAACATGGCAGACAGCGTCTACAGCAGCCGCAAAGTTCTGATTGTCTTGTCCGACAACTATTTCGCCAGCAACTTCTGTCGAGAAGAGCTGCACATGGCCGTCCAGCGGGAGAAAGACGCTGCAGACTCCTCACTGATTCTGGTGGTGTTTAGTAAGTTAAAGATACAGAGGTTGCCAAGGGCGTTGAAAAGCAAAAAGTGTTGGCTTGATTTTGAGAAGCATAAGCGAGATTGGGAGAAGAAATTGTTGAGTGTTACACTAGATGGAAAAGCTTCTTAATTGTGTACCAAACTGAATTTTAGTCTTAATGCTAGATCTCAAGTAAGCATAAGTGAGTGTCAGCAAGGCTCACAGCCAACCATATTATTCATTTCTTTTAAAGGCGACTCTCTATTCTTCATGGATCAACGCCTCATAATTAAAAACACCAGTGGAATCATATAGTTTCCTGTGAATAAAGCTCGGGTATCTTATCATACCAGTAATAACCAAAGATTAGTGAGTGCGCCGTTTGACAACGACCGAAGGTCCAAACGCTTCAGTTGCTCCTCGCTGTGCTTTGCGTACGTTCCGCGTGAGGGACTTACATGAAAAACCGTGAAAATAATGTCTGTGATATACATGTACGATACTCGATTATTTAAATATCATATAAACCTTAGTGAATGTGAGTGGCAGTAAAATCCAGAGGAAAAGCAAGCAAAACCTTTAACATGTATTATTATTCATCCATAATATTTCCCCGATTCTGATTGACTAAAAGCACAAGCATAATTCACCAAAATCAGCTACTGATGACCAAATTCGGAAGAATTTTGCGATTAATCAACCGATGACGTCAAAAGTGCAGCTTCCTTGCCGGTTAATGCACCGTTAACCCAGAAGACCTGTAGACCAGCGAGGTTGAGTTGTTTTAATTGTGAAAACAAAAATGGTGGACATTTCACTCTTTTCAAGACTGAGTAAGAACTAGGAGAAATAATAGCTAAAAACATGGCAAATCAGCAAGAAGACAACTCGAAGGGCGACACCTGCTATTTGGAGAATATTTGCGGAGCGATCAACCCTAAACGTGCAATATCGAAGATGATGATGTTTTTATAGTAGGAATTAGTTTGAATGAATAATAAAACAATTACTGACTTCGGCTTTCGTATCATATGAAGAACTATGGAGATCTCGACGGATAACACCCTCCTCGATCTGCATAATTCTTCATAAGATACTTAGCCTCATTCATTAATTGTTAATTAAGGTTCCTCAGTCAATCCTAGCAGCACGCTTTTAACTGTGGTACAGACACGGATGCTTTGTCATACAACCGTAACTTATACAACTAATCTATTTAATGCAAGTGATTTAAGAGCTCAACTTAAAATTATTACAAAACTTCTGTGTGAATAAAGTTTAACTTGGCAAAAAAAAGATCGACTGTGGGCGTTTTTCCCAAAGGGTCTGGTCAATTTGTATGTTCTAAGACATTTAATTGCTTTGATATAACTCTAACTGCATAAAGCAGAACTGGCGAAACGGCCTTAAATTTCTCTTTCGTCAGAAAAAGTCACCATTCTGTAATTGGTGTCATTAGTCATATTGAATACGTTGAGAACCCGTTCATGTCGTACAAGTTGTGAAAAAAAATACCTCTGGCCCCATCTTAGAATGAAAGCGAGCCTTAGTACGCATGAATTACCACGGGCAAAATGGCTGCCATTTTTCAAAGTTGTTGCATGCAAAGATTTTGTGACGACACGGTATGCATGATTTATTGCTCTTCCATGACACGGTATGTATGATTTATTGCCGGTCGATTTACTGAATGATGTGGTGGTTATAACTCAGAATTGGAGCGAATGTAAAGCAGTTTATTAAGGTATTTCATTCTTAAAGCTGAAATTTCGAATGTAAAGCTGGAAAATCTAGATGTAGCCATTCAATAGGTTTATTGTATTTATTGGTGGAATTTCCAAAGGTCAAATCTCAAAACCGTGCCTGCAGTTCAGAGTGAAACATCGCATCCACAGACATGGCATCTGCTCAGAGAGGGAAGTTTCTTTGACACAACCAGGAACGTAGTAAATTACACTGGAAAGTAGTCAATTAAACATTCCGTAAGCTTGGACATAGAGCTCTTTTTAGTGAAGCTTGGCTCGAATACTTGCAACCGCCTAGGCACAATCCTCATCGTACACTGCGCTCCCATTATGCGCCCGTAATATAAATTTCTTTAGGGTACTTTCCAGGACTCGTTAACTACTTTATTTAAAGCCCTACCCGCAAAAGTAAGGCGATGTCCAGACTTAAATACTTTTAAAAATAATCGTTTTACAATATTTTAAAGAGTAGGCCAGTATGCGCTTAAGTAGAAACTCATGCACAAGTTGTCTTGATAAGCTTTCTTAGTTATAGTTACTCGCAGTATTTATAGTATTTTAGATCAGTTTACAGTTTTAACAGTTTTTAAGGGCATTATGTAAACAGTTAGCTTTTGTAGTAACATTATGTAAGTAGTTANAGCAGTTTATTAAGGTATTTCATTCTTAAAGCTGAAATTTCGAATGTAAAGCTGGAAAATCTAGATGTAGCCATTCAATAGGTTTATTGTATTTATTGGTGGAATTTCCAAAGGTCAAATCTCAAAACCGTGCCTGCAGTTCAGAGTGAAACATCGCATCCACAGACATGGCATCTGCTCAGAGAGGGAAGTTTCTTTGACACAACCAGGAACGTAGTAAATTACACTGGAAAGTAGTCAATTAAACATTCCGTAAGCTTGGACATAGAGCTCTTTTTAGTGAAGCTTGGCTCGAATACTTGCAACCGCCTAGGCACAATCCTCATCGTACACTGCGCTCCCATTATGCGCCCGTAATATAAATTTCTTTAGGGTACTTTCCAGGACTCGTTAACTACTTTATTTAAAGCCCTACCCGCAAAAGTAAGGCGATGTCCAGACTTAAATACTTTTAAAAATAATCGTTTTACAATATTTTAAAGAGTAGGCCAGTATGCGCTTAAGTAGAAACTCATGCACAAGTTGTCTTGATAAGCTTTCTTAGTTATAGTTACTCGCAGTATTTATAGTATTTTAGATCAGTTTACAGTTTTAACAGTTTTTAAGGGCATTATGTAAACAGTTAGCTTTTGTAGTAACATTATGTAAGTAGTTAGTTTTTAGTTAGTATCATGACAGATGTAAAGCTACCATGCAGAAATACTGTCAATAAATGGTTGTTATTATTTACAATTGTTATTCATTATCATTGTTCTCGGATATCCCAAGATGAAAGAGCCGAATTTCTTACTAAAACTGAAAGGAAGAAATGCAAGAATACGCAAAACATATATTATCTGCTTTTTACTATACCGAGTATCTTCAAGAAAAAAGGTCTGTTTTAGACGCAACCGCGCCAAAAAATAGGACAGAGTCTTAAAGAAAGTCCACGAGGAGATATGCTTGTTAAGAATAGAAATATTTTGGATGAGTTATAAAACAATTATTAAATTCAGCTTTCGTATCGGCTGTATCGGAGGCTATTATCAACCTCAGCCTTCGGCATTCTCTTCGATCTGCAGATTTCTTCACATAATATCTTAGTATTTTTTGCCTCATTCAATACCCAGAGGGTACTCCCATATATAAGGCATATTGGTATGTGACGTCCAAAAGGGTATGCATAGACCTTGCCCAATCGGGTAAGGTTTTCGAGGGAACTACAGGAGTGTATGAACGTAGTTATCGTTTCAATTCCAAATGAATTAGAAAGAAAGAGAAATATGCGAATTCGAATTATATTTTTAGAAATCTTTTTTGTAGGCGTTCTAATCTTAGTATTGATGGCATAATTTCTTAGAGGCAAGGTCTGAAAATGGATGTAAAAAAAGACAGTTTTTGGCCTGAAATGGGGTCGGGATTTGGGGAACCAGGCGGCACACCCCATCATGAATTGCCAGGAGTACACCCCCCTGCAGAAATTTCCCGCTTTAATACCCCAAAATACAAGAACCTGTTTAGCCGTGCAAGATCAAACAGCCTTATAGATGGTTATTATGATAAACAATCTAACCAAGGAGTGTAACTTTGAATTGTAAATTTAAGTATAACAACAATAATATACTGTACTAAGGGTTATAATAATAAAATTGTGAAAAAATTAAAAAAATTATTTATTTTTTTGGTAATCAACAATCTACTACCCGCCTTCATAAAAATTAGTCTAAATTGCTAATAAGTAACCGAAAATAAAGGAACCTATTTTGCCAGACTTTAAAACAATTAAAGCTGAGTAGGTTCTTATTAGCGGGTGTTTACTGTATAAATATTTTGCTGCTAAACAGTAGTTCGCAAAAACAGTAGCTTTCCTGTCTGCTGCGCATGCGCTCTGAGCCTTGTTCGTAAGTTATCAGCCGTTCCACATCAAAAGATAAACAGTTCTCACAGCGCTAGCGGCATTGATTTAAATTTGTTGTGGTACACGCACATATAGTATCTTCCACCTTACAGTTACTATTTGCAAGGGAAAATGTTAGCATTTAGTCACGGAAACGTTGCCTCGTTCAGGTCTTTTGGCTGCCTGGTTTTTATTTCCATGTTACGTCTTGCATTTCATGCAGGTTAGTATGCATCATTGTTTCCAATTCCTCAGTGGATGGCTCCCGTTCTCTTATCAAAAGAATTTGGATTGCCCAGAATTCGAGTTACTAGGGGGTTAATTAAATATCTACACCATCTGAAATATGGGAAATAGTAGTGGGGGCTATTTTGGAGATAGAAGATTGTGTTGAAC